TTAATCTAACTCGTTTTTAACGAAACCGACATAATAAAAACGCACGTTTAACACGCATTTCAATAATGCGTTTTAAGAAATTTATTCGATTTGTCATAGTGAATTGACTCCGGCAATAAGACACGTTTGCGCCTAAACGATAAAAGGATTCATATTTTTAACAAGAATTAAAATGTATCAAATGATACGTGTAAAAATATCCGTTGTAAAAAAACGTTTCTACAGTTCAAACATTTTATTTTAAAGGACTCAAATCCTAATGTATAAAAAGTATAGATACTCTCGGAACAGAATAGATTTACTGCGTATAATGACTGCATAAAAATCCGTTAAAAGATTTCAACGAACGGCACGTGGAATAGGCAATATGACTACACCCGTGACTACATACACGACACACAGTGTTGTTATTCTACTCGTAAAAACCACACACCTAAGTTAAAATTAAAAAAGTAATTTCCATTATAAAACAATATTTTTTATTCAGCGACTAATAATATTTGGGAAGTTTTAACGTCTTTGAATTCATCTGAACGCAATATTTCTGAAAATAATTAAAATTCGTTGCACTTTTCGAAAATAATTATGAAAGCAGAGTTTCCACGGATTAACGAGGTTTTTTGTGTTGTTATTATTATAAAATTAATTTTTTTTTTTCCTTTTGTTTGTAAGACTGAGCGGTTGAAAAAGTAAAAAGCTAAGTTACTTATATTTTACTTTTTTTATGTAGCTTTAAACTTAACAATTATAAATAACGAAAAATGAAATGTTAGAAAATCACTTAGTATTATTTCTTTTAATAAACGATTTTAACTCGACTGCAGTTATTTTGAAACAATTTAAATTTATTTACAAATAATTTATATAAAAAAAAACTCGCACTGATGTCCTTTGCATTCATTTGTTAGATGAAAATAACGTATTATAACTTAAATACCAGCATCGCAATATAGTCCATCTTAAGATTAAAGATAGATTTACCAGTGTAGTAGGTAACAATTGTTTAAAAAAAAAAAAATGTGTCTCTTAATATCACTCGAATTATTATCTTCCTGAAAATGTGCGACTTAAGTTTAGTAACTCGAATTCAATTATAATATTTCATAATTAACATTAACTCGGCTTAGCCGTTGTTCACTTCATCTAATCATTACAATTCAGATTGGAACCGATTTCCAACTCGAGGATAACTTGAAAATTCGAATTAATAGACTCGTGAGTATCGTGAAAAATAACGAGCCTATATTATTGTAATGTACTCGGGCAACAAACGATTTTGGAAAATCATAAAACGTATAGTTCGAGTTATCGCTGTGCTCGCCGGTGCAACTTTCACGCGGTAAACCGAAACGCGGACGTTCCCCACGGGCCGAGACGCGATAAAAACATTAAACTCGTTTTAAATTTAACTATTATTATTATAATACAAGAACTTCTGTACAAAAACAAGTTCGCCCGTAAATGATATCGTATCGCTAACGTTTTAAACGCGCGTGTAGGTCACGCCCGAAAAATATTATTCTACGGTCGAACCGCATTGTTTTATGAACGTGTAACAACAATATTGCACGTACCTATATAATAATAAAATACGACAATACTCTATGCTCGCGGTCACGATAAACGCTGACGTATTGGTCGGCACATCGAGCTGTGATAAGAACATAGAATTTCGTTCCCGGAGTGTATCCCGTAATCTGTTGATAAGAAAATACAACTGGCGCTCATAACGAATCGAGATATCGTAGGGTTCGTGATTATCATTATTTATTTACCGTCACTAGGCCGGTTCATCTTACAGTTAGATAAGACATTTCCTATCAAGTAAAAGACATTGCGGGGTCTCGTTATCGCGTCTCGCTGTGTGACCGGTATATCTTCAATCTGTACATGCAGTGTCACGTTTCGAAATAACCGTGTATAAAGCACCGTAGTCGTACGTTGCGGGACGATATTGATACTATTATATTGTTATAGACAATATTTCGGATAACTCAACACTCCCGTCGCGGCCGCATGGCGAACAGTGTCGTGTTTAGGGCTTTTCCGACGAGAAAATTCCAAAAATCGTATCGTTTTGTACAACGTGCACATAACGCGAGGGCGGGGGAATGAAAATACCCGTGGACAACGCGAGTTTCGTTGCTAGAGTCAAATTTCCCTCGGCTCGTCGTTTCGTATCGTGTTATAGAAAAAATGTTCGCCACATTTCCTTGCAGCCGTACAGCCGTGTCGGTTTTTACATTTTTTTTTTTTTTTTGTTTATTCCGGTGTGCATTTATCGATACCACACGCTCCGCCGCGGAATCGAACGTTTTTCTGCATTTCGGATTAAGATTAACGAGCACTTTCGCAAAACGTGTATATATAAGCTATAGGGATATGATACATTATCTCCCGATGTCGTCGTCGAATACGGGAATATAAATAAACGGTAACGCATCAATAACGGATACTGTCTCTGACGTCTCGGGACTTGTAAAATACGAATATTATCGGCTGTGTACTCAGCGCGTAAACCGGCCGAAAAAACGACGGAGAGTCGACACGAGAGAGGCGGCGCCGCCACCGTATTTCAGGTTCAAAACTGTTATTAAAATATAACGTCGAGAGCAGGGCCGCATTTAAGGGTGTGTGACGGGCGTGTGAACGCTGGGTGCTGGGTGGCAGCGTTTTTCGCGATTCGGATGATTATGATAGAATGGAAAAACATTATTTGATGACCTAAAATATAGCCGCGAAAGACATTTCTGTGGATGATTAAAAACGGCTGAACAAAAACACGTTTCAAATTTTTGCCAAAATAAATACTTACAAATGGCCGACAAAATTGTTTTCAAAAATATTGGTGTTGTGCGGCTAACTTCATGGACCTCTACAACATCGTTCATTAACGATCATTGGCTTTTGTATTAACTGTCGATATCCTATACATTGAATTGTTAACCATTCGGGTTAGAAAAATTCCAAGATAAGATCATACATGTTAATTTCTTTTGAAATTGATAAATTTTTTTTCACTTTAGAAAATGATAAAAGGCAAAATATTTACTAAAAACCTTAAACTTTTAACTAGCCGCTTTTAATCTCCAACTAAATTATTCAAAATTATTTTATATATTATTGTGTTAATTCTAATGTTTAGTATTTAACGACGTTTAGATCGTTTCAATGAACGGAATAATAAGTATGTTATAATTTTTCCCCGCGACATATGTATATATTTTTGAAATATACGGTTTACAACATTTTTTTTAACCCACCCTTTAAAATACATATTTTTAAGGTAAATCTTATGGTCATGACTTGGGGGGAGGCAGAGGGCTAATTCTTCATTTGACCTTCCGAAAGTACGTCTTTAGAGGCGCGGAAAATGCAATTTGTACCGCGGGAACGAAAATCTCAAATGCGGCCCGGGTCCTGAGGAAAAAACTCTAAGGATCGAGATTATAAGACCGCGAATGGCGTAGAGTACGGTATTAATAATATTGCGAAGAATCTGTGAGTCACGGGACATGGAAATTCGGATCGCACGCAGGACGAACGAAGTAGTGGTTGGCGGCCAGAAACTCGACAACAAAGAAAGTAGCTGAATGGCTTACCCCGTTTGTTCGTCAAGTTAAAAGAGAAAGAGAAGTAATTTCGAGCGGATTTATGTTTGTTACGACGCGAATCGCGCAATCGGAATACAGTTGGTTCTGAAGAAAACCGGATGACAATCATAATATCCGATCAACGTTAATTAGAATTGCATAAAACGTGACCGAGAGAAATGAAATTCGCGCGAAACGCTGCGCGATTAATAAACTAATCAAATATCGCGGGCAGCCGTAGGCGGAGAAAACAATAACGATATAATTATTATTATTGTATTATGAACGATCGGAGCGGAAAACGATCTCGCGAGCAAATTTTTAATTACATCGTAGGTACGCGGACCACCGTCTCCGAGGAACCGTTATGTATAATATTATTATACGAATCCGACAGCGTGGAAAATGTGATTTTTCTACACGGCCGAGATGCGTGCCCCCCGGGGAAAGTTAATTTACGGGCATCTGAATATCCTTTGACAATGCACTCCGCTACGATAAAGAGTCACGAAGGAAAATCACGGCCACGATACGTCCAAAACAAAAAAAAACAAAAACAACCCGCGTTGATAATTATTAATTTAGGGTTCGGATGTTTGTGCACTTAAATTAATTGTGTTATGTCCGACGCACTTATTATGCAATTTTATGGAACGTATAATGAAATCAAAATATCCGCTAAAATTCACGAATTATATTTAGCCGAAACACACCAAAATATGCGGAAATCATTTTAGTATTTAGAAATCGATTAATTGTGTTCGTCGTTGGTTTTTAATAGTTATTTTTAATTTTAAAAAAGTTCAACAATTTTCAACGATTTACTGAAATACTTATAGTTTACCCCAAAATATGCGTCCAACATACCAAAACCGTATAACATGTAAACGTACGCCGAGTAATAACGGTATTATATACTTCGGTACAACAAGAATCAAATTTTTATCAGCATTAAATCGAATAAATTGAAAAAAATACGTATTTTCATAAACATCCGAACCCTATAGTTAATATCGTGATAAGTAACATAGCGTGATTTCACCGCACAGACAAGGCGATAGTTACTATAGCAATAGCTGTACTAACTATCGCCGTGTGAACACACGCTGTTTTCGTGCTACTGTCGCGTCGTCCTCGTGTACGGACGTCGTTTCCTCTGATCGACACTATCGCGGCGGCGGTTTGAACGACAGCCATCGGGACAGTCACTATCGTAAATTCGCGCGTGCCGGGCTCGAGTGAATATTATAATATACGGTGAACTCAACAGATACATAAGTATTATACATCATAATGGCGGAGCAAAAGAAGAAACAAAAACACTCCGTTTCCGCAGCGGAGAAAATTAGATTTTTGTTTTGAACAATGCACATGATATTATTAGGTAGGTAGGTATTATACAAAACGGATACGCCAACTTTATTCATTATACGGAACTGCTAGCTCTCTAGTCAAAGAAAATTGCGAAACGCTCCGAGACCTTTGTAGTAGTTGTTCGTTTTGTTGGCGAGATCCGCTGGATACCCACGGTATATTTTATAAACCCACGGAAAGTATATAATTTTTGTTTGCCGTTGTTTAAGTCTCCGCCGGTTAATGATATTATAAGCGGAGTTAAAGGAAAGTTAGAAAACTAGAAACCGTGTTCTAATCGCCGTTCGCTGTCGCTGGACGGAGAGCGGATGAACCTTTTCTAGTTTTACTCGTATTTTGTTTACTTTTGTTTGTTTTGCATTCGGTTTAAAATGGATAAAATTGTTTTGACGGATGGAAATAGTTGAAAATTTACCACGAGGTTCGTCATACGCCGTGTATTTTGTTTTTGTTTTAAATAGGTGCTTGTTTAAAACGTTCGAAAAATAAATTAAAATAACTAATAATATGTTGCGAAAAATAAAGATATTTATAATATGGTTCCTATTCATTCTTAAAATGTAATCGAATAAACGGTTCCTACTGATTATTATTATTTTGTTCTTGAATAATAAATTACGGTATAATTATATTTGTCATTAACAATTATTATAACATAATAATGTTTTTTACAAAAAAAAAAACGTTTAAAACATACAAATTCGTTTATAATTTAGAACAATTGAAACCAAAAAAAAAAAAATAACAGCATTTACAACACTGGCTAATAGGATTGACTTCGTGGTAAAAAAAAAGGGACATCGTAATGTAAGCGTTTTTCTTTTACTCCACGTTTTAAGATAAAATTTTAACGAAATTCATACAAATTACTGTTTTCGAAACGTAATGTTAATAATCGAATTTCGCTCAGACTCGTTTTTCGTTAGCAATGGTTCACCGTTGCGTATACGGGTATAAAAAGAACTATTATACACATACCACGTTCACGACGTTCAGCCTACAACAGTGACACACCCGTCCCCCGGGATTGGATCTTATGCGGTTTATCACGACAAAAGGATTTGAAATTTAATTTGCAACAAAAGAAAAACAAAATATCCGGTATCCTTTGAGGCGGTATTACTGCGATTCGTACGAGGTTTGAACAAACAACATAATATTTCGAGTGGGTGTATCATCGAAAATTTGATTGCACTTAAAATGGAATGGAGTTTAAACGAATCGTATGACGGAAATGCGGAATTGAATCAATTACTGTACGTTAAAAAAAAAAAAAAAAAAAAATTATAATAACAATAAAATTCAAATACCGTTTAAAGCGCATTTTTAAATGTTGACGTTTTGCGAGGGAAACGAAAATAACAACTGTAATCGCGAGGAAATACGGTGTTCATGCGAAATACGTATATAGCAATATAACGACGATACGTTTTGTTAGTTTTTTTTTTTTTTTTTGTTCCAAAACGAAAATCCGTTCTACGGTTAAATTTATTGAAAACGGCTTAAAATTTCTTTATAACCGGATTGTAATGTTGTGTTAATTATAAATCGCGTCGATTATCTGAAAACGAAAATAATACAAAATAACACACTCTCCGCATCAGATTCCGAATTCTCCGAGTATCAGGCGAATTTCGCGATTTGTATGCGGCGGTCCACACGACAAGAGTACCTACCGAGGCGGCGGTTTACATACTTAATCATCGGATTGGCATCGGTATAGTCGGGGAAGACACGTCAGCGTTAGTAAAAATAACGACCGGATTAGAAGAAGACGCGTAGGTACGAATATTTCCGAAAGCGTTATTTAGGAAATCCGAATTGTAATTAAGGGCTTGGAAATTTTTTACGTTTGCATTTTTTTTTTTTTCATTTTGTTTTTCGAGGTACCTTCTCGGCGGCGAATGTTAAAATGTGTTTCGTTAAACCGTGTCAATTCGAATGCGACATTTTAACGGTTGTTTAATTTTTTTTTTTTTCTAAATACGCTACCGAGTAGTGAGTATACACAGCTATATCGAATAGAACAGTTGAACAGTACGAACAGTAAGCGGCCAAGTAGGTTTTCGGTTACTCGACACTATTGAAGAATGTCGCGATTTTAAAATAATTTATTTTCGAAAATTTCCTGTTTTTTTTTTTTTTTGCGGATTATAAAAATCGGCAAAAAGTCGTTTGTCTTTGAAAACTTAAACCAAAAAAAAACAAACACTTTTTACCCAACGCAATAATTTAAATATTTACAAACATACGATCAATCGAACCAATTGAACCTTTATATGTTTTTCAGATTTTGAGCGTAGCCAAGAAGTTGTTATATCGTTTTACTAAGATGTGTGTGATTTTTTTTATCTATCGGAAAAAACTTTTTCGATCAGTAAATCGAAGTTTGAACGATTTCTCGTTTGTTTTCTCTTTATTTGAATAAAAAACTGTTCTTAGATCTCGTCGGTTTCTAAAAAACAAAAAAAAAAACAAAACATTGGAAATAGAATATTACGTCGATACATCGGTTATGTTTATTGTTGATTTCCGGGTTATGTACGGTCACGATGGGGGGGAGGGGGAAGGGTACACGGCTATAATAATATACTTACCATAGTCGCAAAATGACTTTACCCGCAGATCACCGAGTCGTTTTCTGAACGCAATGATTCGACGAACGGTTTATCAGTACCTATACTGTAAATAATTGAACAGTCCTTATCGTCATTATTACAGTGGCGTGGCCTGTAGGAATTTCCAATTGTAGGGAGGGGTTGTATAAAAACAATAATCAGTACGGTTCGTGAATGTATTCCTTTTGTTTTTGCTCTGACTCGACGGCGAGCACTCGCCGGATCCGAAAAAGCCGATTTGTATTAAATAAATCGAGCGTTTTTTTTTTTTTTTTCTCCGTTCGACTCAGCTGAAAGTCAATTATCTCCAAGACGAAACGTCTAAATAAATACCCGCGTAGCCGTTGTGTTATTTTAAGCGAACGGCGAAGTTGGCGAACAGGCGGGTATGACCACTGACTTCCGTCCCCGCGCCACGCCACCGGTTATACCTGCCCGCGGCGCGAAACGGTTTTTTCGATTTTTTTTTTTTTTTTGATTTTTCGTTCATTTTCAAACGCTGCAACTCCGCTGCGGCCGCACAATAACACACGTGTTATCATGCGCACGGAACGGTTCGCGCGATAAACGTTTAAACGGTTTTTCTTTTTTATTTTTATGTGTATACACGTAAATATACGTACTCGCGAGTGCCTAACCCTCGCGTATAAAAACGTAAGTATGACACCTATGTGCGCGCGTTCCGTGTTTTATGCCGACGTCGTAATATCCCGAAACACTCACGCAATAGGTACGGAAAACGGTTATAGTTCAGAGAAAATTCGTTTTATATGAATTTTCGTTTTTATCGACGATCGATACGCGCGGGAGTGATAATACTACGGCGCGGCGAATGCTCGCGGATACGCGCGTTTTTATTGCGTTTCCCGCGTATTTTATTCGACAGACTTCGGCCCGATGTTCGGAGTTGAACTCTGCGACGGCGGACCGGGAAGCGTATCCGACCCGACGTTCAAGGAAATAATACCCCTGTCTTCCATTTCCGAAAAGTTCGCGTTATTTGTAACCGTTTTGTTTTCTCGGTCTTTTTTTATTTTGAAACGAATTCGGGGAGGGGGAATGCGGCTCGTTCCTCTAGATCACTCCTCGCGCACACGGCCTGGGTACGCCACCAAATATTCGGTACATAACGGACACTATTCATCAAAATCGATCATTTTTTTTTTTTTTAGACTCGTTACCCAGCCAGGAATGTATCGGTGTTACAATGATGTTTATAATTTATATTTATCTGTGAACGACTTTTCTGCCGGACAACTCGCTCCGGAGTGTGTCGAGTGTAGCGCCTCTTCTGAAAGGAAATTATTCTCTACGCGGAAATTTAATCATTTTCCGATTATTCAAACGGTTTACATAGAAATCAGGATAAACCGTGAAAAACGAAGGAAGATTTACGTATACTCTTAAATAAAACTTTATGAATCGTTTTTCGGTAGCGACGGTTTATCGTCAGGTACAGATATAAATTAAATTCCCATCCATATTCTATCTTCACAACTTCTCACCAACAACAGTGGCCCACCCATCGTATGTCTGTCTTAAATTTAAAAAAAAAAAAAAAACTAAAAACACTTGAGATTGAGGGCCGTCCGTTCAACGGCGGCAAACCGAGTCGGCCACTCGCCGTAACTGTATTGCGGGTAATGCATTTTGAGTTACACAGCCTCCAGGGTACATTCGTTATTGGCATTTTTTACGGCGGGTCTTCCGAGCGGCGCCAGTCGTGCGAGTTGTACGCGCGCCGTACGTAACGGTACGGCCGAAACCGGCCCCCTCGGTCGTAAACGAAACACGCGATATTAAACGAGCGTGGTCAATACGTCCCGTTCCGGGTGTTTTTTTTTTTTTTTCATTCAACCGACGTTTCAAATCTTCCCGGGCCAATTGAAACGGTTTAACCGTATGTCTATGCGCGTCCGCGGAGACGCCGGAGTCCAGACCGGCGATACGACAGCGGGTGGATGTTATTTCCAAAAGACCAAAGAAATTCAACGTTTAATTCCGTACAAATATTTAACAACCTATAAATTACATAACGTTTAATCTGTACCGTATGGCCTGTGTTCAGTAATCAACAAGATAATTTAAAAAATGCCGTCAGTCTGTTACATACAGAATTGAAGGTTGTATTTCGGTTTTTTCGTGCGAGGTTCACGGATTTGTAATATAGACAGATAATCCTCCCCGCCCCGAGAAAATTTCTGTCCGCGCCATTTTCCGTCGTCGCTAGTATCGGATTTCCGTCCACCTGTTTTATATCGCAGACGTATCATTCGCGATACAATACACAACCGAATTCCATACTATTATTACGGTCGTTTTACTACTACTTAAAAAAAAAAAAAAAAACAAACCGTGAAATTCGATCTTAAAAAAGGCTTGAGAGTTGGAACCCCGGGAAATCGAATTGTCGTCGTGCGTTTACGTCGTTTCACACCCAGACTCTATTCGGGGAGCCCGTCGGGGAGGAGTGCGAGCGTGTAAAACTAATACGAACCACTGTACCCGTTCCCATAAATACCGGACTTTTCCCATTTCCACCAATACCGTATTATTTAGCTCTGGCACTATCAATTCGATCAACGTTTCGTGATTGTTCATGCGACCCGGCGTAAGACAAACG